CATAAAGGTTTTTTTCTAATAACATAATTGTAAATACTTAGTCTTCTATAGAATATATTTTAAAGGTTACTGTTTCACAATATATAAAAGATTTTCATTTTTATTGTTTTCAAATTCAGAAAGGTTAAATGATGTATCATATTTCATTCAATATTTCTTTCACGTATCCCCCCCAAATAAATTGAATGCCAACCATGTGCCACACAATGTAATTTATACAAACAATGGTAAAGCTGATTTCTGAATACAAATTATGTGGCTTCAAACTCCATACTTTTTCTACTATGCTTTTTCTACAGTACAAAAGGGGCCTCTATTAAAACTTATTTATATAACTCCAGGTATGTCTAAGCCAAAATAGCATGAAATGTAAAATCCAAACCTAGCTTTTGTCTTTTTCCAGGATCTTGAGTAAATTTCTTCTCTGTTCCACAGAGCAATTTTCCACATCTGCAATTCTAAATGTGATTCTAAATGTACCACAAAATAGTCTCTGGAAGTTATTCAATAAAAGATGAGATTCAGACAGGCATCCTAGTATACAGACAGTTATGTAGTCTTTTTTTTCAATAGGCTTAATTCACTTTATTTGTTTATTTTTGTATAAAAACATTACCTGGTGGCCATAATCTTTTGTGTCTGGCTTCTTTCACTCCATATAATGTCTTTGAGATTCATCCAAGTTGCTACCTTCTGTTTTACTGCCAGTAGGACTTCAGTTTCTCAATCTATACAATAAAGGGGGTTGGGTTGGATGAACTTTAAAGGACTCTTGAGTTCTGACAATAAGTGAGACACTTTCTGCTGATTGGCAAGACTTAAATGCAGGAATTCTGACCTGAATCAGTTGCCATGATACCATAACAATATTGGGAATGACAGCTTTGAATGAGTAATCCAATGAGAGCATTGACGTTACATGTCTGGCTGGAAACAATTTTTATGCAGCTGTGTTACGTAAGGACAGAAACTATGCTCTATCTTAGAATGCCCTCACTGACTTCTGAGCCCTCCCATGAGCAGCCTTCTTCCTGTGTGAATTACTAAGTTGAACTGCCCATATTACAATTTAAAAAGCCATTAATAAATAGGATGAAAATAGGACTCTAGTAAAAACCACCCTCCTAATTTTGTTTAGGAATCCATATGTGTGGTGTTTGGGTAATCCATGGTGTTAGGGAAACTCATATTCAAATCCTGGTGCTTGCTTCTACGTATGTGACCTTGGGCAAGTCTGTCTTAAACTCTATATCTGATCTGAAAATGAGATAATGATAGCTACCTCACAGGGTTGATATAAAGAACCAAATGAGATAAGGCATGCAAAGTGCTCTGTGCGTCTGGAATATGGGTAGTGTTTCATCAAGGATAACTATTACTGCTGCTGTTGCTTCTCAGCAGCCTGTCATCCTCTGCTCCTGCAACTACAGTTCCTCACTGAAGTTCCCTTTCTTTGCCAGTCCTGTTTGTTCACATGTGCGGAGACAAAGATGGGTATAAGCAGTGAGTAGTGAATAGCCACAGAGTTTTTAATCAGTCCCATAAAGGGGAAACTGATAATAGACAACGGGATGGGACAATTAAATGAGAACAAGCCATGGTATAGGGGATGGGAAATGGTTTCTAACACTTCTTTAGTCATAAAATATTTCATTATCTGACTGTGGCACTAAATCTCTTTGGAATAATCAAAATAGTCTAATGGCTTAGAATATGTGTTTTTCATATTTTCAAACCCTGTTCTGCCACTTACTCACAAATTTATCAAACTCTCCCAAAGGAATTTCTTCATACGTGAAAGCAATATAACATACAAATTGAGAAAACGGCTGGGTTCAGATGAATCGGGTTTGAGTCCCAACAATACCATTAACAATATCTGTAAAATGCCACACAAGTTAATTAATTTCTCTGCTTTTTGGCTTTCTGATCTGTAAAATGGGTTGTTAGTTGTTATAGAGATTGGTTAACACAAGGACACTTGTATAGTGCCTGGTACAGGACAATCAGTCCACAAATGTTAGCTTTTATTTGCCATTCGGCATAATGATACCTACCTCTGTAGACTATTGAATATTTAAATGAGAATAAGGTAGGTTAGATGACTGATAGATTTTAATAATATTCAATCCTATTGCTATGTAATCATTATAATTTATATTAAAAAAAAGGAAGGCTGGAAATATATATTGAGAAGGTTTGAGGAAAAAAACCAGAAATTATCAGCATTAAATTAATGAATTTACAATTTTTAAATGGGAGTATAAAAATAAATGAGTGGAAGAAGTTATATTGATGAGCTCTATGAAAAGGAATGCTCTTAGTTTTCCTCTGAAATATAGAAAACCAAGCAGAAATTCTCATCAGACAATAAATAATGATAGTGATAATAACAATAACAGTAATCATGAAATTTACTTTCATTGGAGATTTTAGGTCAGGATGGTGGAGTAGGTAAACACTGAGCTTATCTCCTCTCATGACCACATCAAAATTACAGAACAACCTAAACTATAAAACAACCATCATTGAGAACCACCTGAAGTCTAGCTGTACCAAAGCCCTACAACTAAGGACATATAGAAGAAGCCACCTGGAGATTCAGAACGGGCTGACCCCACACCCTCGTGTGACCATTAAAAATGGGGAGGGATATCTGGACTGCAGAGGCCCCTCCCCTCCAGAGGAGCCAAGGGTCCCAGCCCTGCACTGGGCTTCCTAGTCCAGTGTTCCAGTGACAGGGAGAGACGTTCCCACAACTTCTGGCTGTGAAAACAAGCAGAGATTGTGGTTGAGTGAAACCAGGGCGGTTGCAGCCCCAGGCACTCTTCGTAAAAGGCCCACACATGGACTTCCTTGCTGACGGACACTCACTCTGAGCTCCAGAGCTGGGGCAGCAGCTCAAAAGGCACCAGGGACATTCAGGAATGAACTGTACTGTCTGGCCTCAGGGCAAGGGCTTGAGGGGCAGCTTTCTCCCAGATGAAGGAGCCGTGGAAGCCACTGTTTCTTTAGCCCTCCTCCTTCCCGGTGTGCAGACACAGGTGGCCACCATAGCTGAGTCTCCATTAACCTGGATAACACCGTTCATTTGCCTCACCCCGACCCCGGGTGATTCTGAGACCCCGCCCTACCCAACTTTCGGACACACACAAGCTGCTTCCAGTGGCTTTTCCGTATCAACAGCCTGCCTTGGCTCATGCTGCAGACTTTCTTAAAACCTCTCAAAGGTTCACAAAACCCAAACAAGGAGCCTTTGCCTTTGGTGTGTCCCATACCTCTGGCTGAGAAGTCCTAAGCCCAGCACTAGTGACAGCCGACCTTGGTTCAAGCCTTGACCTCTCAACACACTTCCAAGGCCAGCACAGGTGGCAGCCATCTGTGGATTGCTTTGTGGCTCATGCCAGGTGGCCCCAGACAAGGCACAGGCTGTGGTTGAACTGGCCTCCAGCGGGTTCCCTCCCAGGAGGCCCCAGGGCTGGCACACCTGGTGGCCAGCTTCGGACTGAGCTGGAGGATCACCCAGCCACCTCCAAGGATGACACTCAAAGGGCAGATTGGACAGGCACCAGAGCCCTGCTAAAGCGAATCCTGCTCTGTAGTGTCAGCCCCTGCACCACAACTCCTCCACTGTAGTCACAGCCAGTCCTCACAACCAATCAGCCTGAGGGTCAATCCCTCCCATTGATGTACAAACAGCAACCAAAGCTCAACTACAACAGGAGGCCACACACAACCCACACAAGGGACACACCTAGAGCACCCAGCTCAGGAGACCAGGGAGATTGCACCACTGGGCCCCACAGGACACCTACTGTATAAGGCCATGCTACTAAGACCAGTAGATAATGCAGCCCTATGAAACATGTCCAAAATGAAAGAACAGAACAAAGCTCCAGAAAAAGAACTAAACAAAATGGAGACAAGCAATCTACCAGATGCAGAGTTCAAAACATTGGTTATAAGTAAATTGTTCAGGTTAGTGCATTTGATGTATCATTTCATTGGCATAAAGAAGTTAAATTACAGATTAAAGATAACCCCATTTAAAATATCTGCAGACTCTCTATATTGTTTTTCAGAAAGGCTGTACCAATTCACATTCCCACCATAGTGTATAAACCATGCTGGTTTCCACAAACTCTTCCAGCACTGTCAGGCTTGTTTTTGTTTTCTTTTTAAGTCTTATGAATCCATATTGAATTCTATTTCATAGGGTTCTAAGGGTCCTCTTTGGCCAGCTAATGGAAAATGTTTTGGAAGGTAGCTGGGAGAGGGTTACACAAGAGAACAAAGAATGAAATAATAATGATAACAAATACTTATTGAGAGCTTATGATTGTGAGGAACTAGTCTAAGTACTTTATATACGTGTGGACTTATTTAAATTTAATTATTTAATTATGAGATAGCTACTGTTATTATCCAGAATTTATGTATGAACAAACTGAGGCCAGGAGAGGTAAACTGACTTGGGCAAGTTTACAGTTTGTTAGTGGCAGATGCAAAGCTAGACAATTTACTTTCAGAATCCATACTTCTAATAATTAAATTCCATTCATAAGCTACAAGCCATCTGATTGGTGAATGGTTTTATTTCTATAAAGATAATAGCATAAGACACAATGTGTGGTTCAGATCAGGTATGCTAGTAGTTAGGGAAAATACATGTGCATTGAATAAGTCAATATTGATTTAGTTAGGACTTGGTTGAAGTATTGAAAGAGAAACTTTCTCTGCTCTCTGCATCTCTGCTCAGTGGAAGAAAATCATCACCCTCATTATCACCAACACTACCAACTATTTAGTGCCTACTATGTGCCAGGCTCTGAGTTATAAGCACTGTGGCATTATCAACATTCTTTATATTATTATCACCTTTTCACAGATGGAGCTAGATTAAGTGAAATCCGTAAGATCCCATAGGTATGAAGTGGCAGAGCCTGAATTCAAACTCAGTTTGTTTATGTTTGGCTTTAAAATCTTTACTCTTTCTCTAGTGACAAATGGAGGAATAAGAAGACATATTCATAAGCCAGGATGTTGTCATGTTCAAAGGACTCACACAGATTCACATATATTCCAGTGGGTAAGTCATAACCAAATTATGTGCACTTTGAAAAGCAGAGATGAGTAGGATGATCTTGATTCTGAGGCTGGGAAGAGTCACTGGAAGATTTTTGTAGATGGAAGTCACAAGGTAAGATTAATTTTTAAATTAAAAAAATATTAAGATTTTATTTTTTCAGAGCAGTTTTAGGTTCACGACAAAATTGAGGGGAATGTATAGAGATTTCCCATGTACCCGCTGCCAACATCCACAAGCACAGCCTTTCCCATTATTACTATCCTCCACCAGAGTGGTACATTTGTTACGACTGATGACCTGACATTGACCCATCATAATCATCCAAAATCCATAGTTTATATTATGGTTCACTCTTAGTATTGTACATCCTATGAGTTTGGACAAATGTGTAATGACACGTATTCATCATATGGTATTATACAAAGTATTTCCACTGCCCTAAAAATCCTCTGTGCTCTAATTATTCATTCCTAAGCTTATCCCCCACCCTCTGACTGCCACTGATATTTTGACTTTCTCCATAGTTTTGCCTTTTCAAAATGCCATATAATTGGAATCCTACAGTATGTAGCCTTTTCAGATTAGCTACTTTCATTTAGTGATATGCATTTAAGGTTCTCCCATATCTCTTCATAACTTGATAGCTCATTCCTTTTTAGACAAAATCATATTCTGTTGTTGGATGTACCACAGTTTGCTTATCCATTCACATACTGAAGGACATTTTAGTTGCTTCCAAGTTTTGGCAATTATGAATAAAGCTGCTATAAACATCCACAAGCATATCTTTGTGTGGGCATAAGTTTTCAACTGCCTTGGGTAAATACCAAAGAGTGATATGATTGGATTGTATGGTAAGGCTATGTTTGGTTTTGTAAGAAACTGCCAAACAGTCTTCCAAAGTTCCTGTACCATTTTCCCAACTAGGCAAGGTCTAAAGGAGCAAGATGAGAGGAATTTAGGAAAGCAGACTTTGGAATGCAAACTTGAGGTAGACCAGGGTTCAATAGTGAGAAGAGTCAGAAACACAAATAAATGTTTATTATGTGACCAACTGTGAATCCCTAGGTAGTTTGGCAAAGTTTCAGCAAAGTGAGAAGTCACTTAAATAGAAGTCAGATCGCAGAGGAATTCAGCTTTGGAGATGCTAAGGATTGGAAAACATGGAGGAAGTTGATAGAAAGAAAACCATAGCAAAACGTCCAATATTCTGCATCTTCTCTTAAAAGTGGTCCTATCTCTTGCCAAAACTGGTTATTGATAGATTCAAGATTTGTTCACATATTTTTCACAAAGGAGAGGACTTGATCTTTAAAATCAGAAATGAGATTTTAAAATTAGAAATTCTAGTAAATCATTAAAAAGTAAGTATCACTTGGCTTTTCTATCAGTACCCTTATCCTCTCTGTGGGTCATAGCAGAGTCCCTTGTTCTAGAATCAACTGTCTAATCTCTGAGATAATTAATGAAGCTCCCTTGAGGATGGTGGGTGCAATCCTGTGCATTGTAAGGTGTTCAACAGCATCCCTGGCCACTATTTACTAGATGTCAAAGAACATCCCTAATTGTGATAACTAAAAGTGTCTCTAGACATTGCTAAATGTCCCCTGGAGGACAAAATTGCCTCCAGTGAGATAGAGTAAAGCTAATAAAAATGTAAATGTTTGACTAGAGGTCAAACCCATTACATAAAATGCTGTACATGAGGCTGAGTTTGTTTCCTGGAAAACAGGATGATGAAAGAAGAGTCAATCTCCAAATCAGACATGAGTGGGTGATTGAAAAGCTGTGATTTGAGAAAAGCACATGGGGCTGGGCTTTAGAACGTGGACTGAGCTCTGGCTGTGCTACCCTATAGCTGTTTGTCCTCAAATCTACACTGTCCCCTCATTGGACCTTACTGATAAAATGAAGATATTTGAACATACTAGAATATACTGAGGCTCATTTCAGTTCAAAGACTATGATAAGTTTGTGACTATTCATCATTGTCCACCTGGTTCATTGGGTACTGAACACTTTCAAAGGCTATACACTCAAGAGGGTTGAGTGTGTTTTCTCATCCAGGCCTAACCTGACAGGTTTTCCCTTTTTTGTCTTTTCCTAGAAGGCTCATCCGTATATCTACCCTCACTGCTCAATTCCACGAGAAATGGAAGGAAAAGTTTACTCTGGAGAAGGCATCTATTTTATCTTAAGACGTTTATTATTTCCCCCCTGGAGGGAGAGGAGACCTGGGGCTAAGCAGTTTTGGTTATGCAGATGGTTTTTGCTGAGCTCAGAAATGGAAGCCAAGTGGGCAAGGAATCAGGGTGAACTTCCATGGGAATTACAGAGCCCATTTCTCTCCACTTGCCTGTCTTCCCAGAAACAAACGTCAGAGGCTATTCTGCATTTCCGCCATAAGTAGGCTGCCATTTTCCATTGCATCACAACTCTAAGGCGAGATTACACTAACTCCCAAGAGTTGTTTTCAGAGCACACCAGTTAATTAGGCAACAAGACAACAGGGTGGAGTGATACTTTATTACACTGGATGTCTCCACACCCAGGTGGATTTGGCCTGGTGCCATTTCCAGCCACCCTCAGAGCAGTGTCATCTTACAATGCAACCACGCCCAGATGACAACAAATTGTATTTTTTCAGGACTAACTTTAATTAAAAATTACATATATTAATTAATCCAGGAACAAAAAAAGAAAAAAAGTGTCAGCTCTTCTCTCCCTTATTCCCTACTCCACCACATTTTTTTTGTTTGTTTGAGATTTTTGAGATGTAATGAGCTATCCTTGTAAGTGAATATCCTTGATAAAGAGGCGGTTTGAGGCACAAGGTACCAAGATCCACAATTAGCTTTTGCCTAGCACCGTGTAGCTCACAGAGTACTTTCACTTATATCGATTAATTTTATATCTTCACAACAAAACTGATATGTAGATGACAATATTTTATAAATGAGAAAATAGGCTCAGAGATGTAAATAACCATATCTAACATATGCAGTAAGTTGCAGGATCCAGTTTTTGGATTTCAAGTCTCATGTTTTCCTACTGTTTTTCACAACTGTTCCCTAACTGTCTTAATGGTAGAATGTTCCAGTCAAAAGGGTCATTAATTCAGTCACTATGTATTGAGGGCTACTATCTTCCAGGTACTGCTGCCTTTGAAGGCAATATATATATATATATATATATATATATATATATATATATATATATATATATATATATATATATATTTATTAGTCTATTTTTTTGTGCAGTTTTAGATTCACAGCAAAACTGAGCAGAAGACACAGAGGTTTCCCATGTACCCCTGCCCCCAAAACATGCATGGCCTCCCCATTAGCACCATCCTCACCAGAGGGGGTAATTTGTTACAGTTGATGAACCTGCATTTACATCCCATTATCACCCAGAGTCCATAGTTGACATCAGAGTTCACTCTTGATGTTGTATGGTCTATGAGTCTAAACAAATGTATAAATACGTGTATTCACCATTGTAATATCAGACAGAGTCGTTTCACTATCTTAAAAATCCTCTCTGTGAAGGCAATATTTTTATTACATTGGTTGATGGACTTGATTAGTACAGTTTAATTAGCCTACCTTCTTTCTGTCCCCACTGTCCAATTCCCAATGTACCTCACCTCATGAGTAATTTAGGAATTTAATCTGTCTACGTTCACGGTTTCCCTTCAGCTAAAAGTGAGAACTGGAATTAAAACACAGACTTCCTAATTCCACATAAAATACTAATACATTCATGAATTTCCTAATGAGTTAGAGGCATAAGAGGGACTGATAACAGTAAGAAAAAGCACTCCCCCCACCCATCCATGGCTGGATGAAAAGATGTTTTTTCTCTTTTAAAGAGGGAAAATGGTGCTCTCTGGCCTTCGTGCTCTCTCGCCCTTTCTCTCTCACCCTTTCTCTCTCGCCCTTTCTCTCTCTCTCTCTCTCTCTCTCTCTCTCTCTCTCTCTCTCTCTCTCTCCCCCCCCTTCCCCCTCTCTCTCCATCTCCCACCTCACTAAGCCCATTCTCTTCCCTGAGAATGTATCACTAATAAACCTGCTTGTATAATAATCAGCTTGCTGACCTTTCATTCTTCACTGCTTAGGCAGGAAGAACCAAGACTGCCATAACAGTGGCATTAAAGGTTAAGGATTGAGATAACACAGGAGAAAAAAATGGGTGGCTGGTTTTTAATTTTGGCTTTTCAGTTGGAATTGCTTACCACGAATCTGATCAAAACCTTTTGCTGGATAAGTGAGAGTCTGAACTCCTTCAACTTCAAAGATAAGGGGCATTTACTCCCTCTAGCTTGAATTTCAGGTGTTCTTAGGTGACTAAGAATTTATGTGGAGGTGTTTGAGGGTACTCCTCAAAACGTGCAGTGGCCTCAGGGAATTCCAACACAACTGTAATTAAATATTTTTCTCGTCCAGGGACACACACATAAAAGCTGGTTACCTAGCATTCCAAGTCCTCACAGTTGTACTAGACAGCCAGGGAGAAAAACCAAAGCACGTAAGAGAGTTGAAGACTTGGGAGGTGACAGCCCCTTCGAGCTCAACCCATAAGCAGCACACTTCAACCCACTACACAGTATCACTAGATATTTGTTCAGACTCTGCACATCTCAAAAGAAAACTAAAAATTGGGAAATCGTGCCTCAAAGGCCAATAAGCTCCCAGACTTCAGCTCCATATTAATATTAAAAAAAAAAAAAAGAGAAAAGGTTTAAAAATTTAAAAACTTAGAATAAGCTGTTTGATTTTGTGACCTATTTGAAAGGTGCCACTTTTTCATGGCTCAAGTGACCTGTCAGGCTATCCAGACATGTGTGGCTGTTGTTGACTGAGGGTGACCCAGTTCCTTGCAAAGGCCTCACCACCTGGAGTACAATAAGCTTTCCAAAGGATGGGGTGCGAATGAGGAAATGACTCCTTTACCCTGGAGACTATTAGTTTGTGCCACTAAAACTGGACACTGGT